CACTGCTTTTCTCACGCATATGAAACAAAATAGGAGTGTTTATGCATTGAAAACACTACGATCACTCTGTTCTGGTGGTGAGTATTTTGATACCTCAAGACTATGATTCTATCCGCTGTTTTTTCGATCGTAGGTGAAACTTTTTCTTCCACTTTGGCTGTGCTTGCGATGAGTTGTATGCAGGAAACATGTCAAATATGGAATCTTTATGGTCCTGTTGAGACAGCCGTGATGACTACATATCATTCTGTTTTTCGAACAATGGGAACGAAGACGATTCCAATTGGTCGCCTACTTCCAGGATATCGGTGTGTTATTCTGGATGATTTCTCACAACCTGTGTTTACTGGTGAAGAGGGTGAACTGTTTGTCGGAGGTGTGGGTGTCTTTGCTGGTTATCTTGGACGTAATGAATTGACAAAGAAAGCTCTTGTTGACATTGATGGTGAACAATTCTATCGAACTGGAGATCTTGTACGCTTCGATAGCGATGGCCTACTGTATTATGTTGGTAGAAAAGATCATCAAGTCAAAGTACATGGACAACGCATTGAACTTGGTGAAATCGAAAGATGTTTGCTTCAAGCATCATCAGACGTTTCTCATTGTGTCGTTGTCAAGTATGATGATGATCACTTGGTTGCCTATATTCAAAGTAATAATATCAATGAGAAACAACTTCGACAATATTGCCAATCTTATCTACCATCTTTTATGATACCATCAATGTTTATCATACTCGAACAATTGCCATTGAATGCAAATGGAAAGGTGGACCGGAAACGTCTGCCTGTTCTCATTTTTAGATCAATTGACACACTAGCGGATACCGAATACGAATCTCCAGAAACTGACACAGAAAAGCGTATACATGACCTTTGGTGTGAAGTGCTACGAGCTTTTAACAAGAAAATCTCCATCAAGACAAGCTTCTTCGCTGTCGGTGGTCATTCGTTACTTTTTATACAAGTCTACTATTATTATCAATCAGTGTTTAACTTTGATAGACACATACTGACAATAACACACTTTATTCAACAAGCAACTATTGCTGAACATGCAAAACTAATTGACCGAATCAAATTCGCTGACGTGAAACCTAAGGCACCAGAATCGATATATGTAGACGAGGGTAAAATATATATTTTGGTAATCATTTGAGTGGTGTTTTTCTTCGTCTCACTTTCAAGTCACGATTATTCAATGCATGTCCACTTTTTGTCGATAGCCGTTCAATTCGATTTGAAGGAAATTATAGTTAGATGTAATAGTCTCCCAACATTCAGAAAGTCGCTTCTTATTAGTCAAACCTGAAATCTTCTCCAAGAAATCGGAATATGAATACTTGATTGAAGAATCTATGACTTTATAGGAAGAGAGAAGAAGCTTGAGAAAAGACAAGATGAGATTAAATCAATGGTGATCGACTGCATAATCATCCTATGCAGAAATCTTTTTCATGTTCATTCAAATTTTCTAATGAGGTAAATATTTAATCTTTCTGACCAGTATGTAAGATGAGAATCCATTTAACTATTGTTTTTGATGACTGTAGTCTTCAAAACTCATACAAGAGTAGTAAAAAGTTGATTTTTTCAAGAACGTACGATTTCGACTACTTCACATGTTAAAGAGTTCATGAGATTTCAACGACTCATGCACCATTGAATATACAAATAGCTCCTTTTTTAAATCAAGTTTTAACGAAAAGCTCATACTTTTTATGTTTACATCAAGGTTGTGAAACTCCTCAAAATGACATGAAATTATCAAACAATATGAGCCATGAATGCTATGATGTCGAAGAAGATCGGCTAATTAAAACTGATGAACAACTCATTGACAAAATAAAGCCTGTTACTGAAATTACTCAGAACAGCAATCGTAGAGATATCCTACTCACAGGAGCAACAGGATTTCTCGGTTCATATATCTTGGATCAGTTGCTAAAACAAACTGATGCACATATTTATTGCCTGGCTCGTTCTTCGAAAAGCAAAATAAATTCAGATCCTCGTGTGCATTATTTGATCGGAGACTTAAGTCTTCCTCAACTAGGTCTTGATGACAAGCAATATTTTCAAGTATCTTTAACGCTTCGATCAATTTATCATTGTGGAGCATTGGTTAATTTTATTCAACCTTACAGTGACCTTCGAGCTGCCAATGTGCTCGGCACCCTTGAAATAATCAAACCAGCATGTTTGGTCAATGCTCGCATTAACTATATATCTACATTGAGTGTTTTGCATGCCACAAGTGGGAATGGGTATGTTCAAAGCAAACGGGTTGCTGAGAACTTGATAAAACGAATAAATGAAAAGGGTTTGGCTACATGTATCATCCGTCCAGGTAATTTAAAACGGTCGATTTTTCCAAAAAAAGAATAATACTTATTCTGCTTTCTCCCGAGATAGGTTTGATTACATGGTGCACGTCAAATGGTGATTATAACGGACGAGACGCATTTATTCGCCTATTCTCAGGTTTGATTGAGTTAGATTCGGCTCCCGACATCGATGGTATAGTAGATATTACACCAGTTGATGTTATAAGCAAATCAATTGTGAATAGGCGAATAAATGCGTCTCGTCCGTTATAATCACCATTTGACGTGCAC